TTTTTTTTTTTTTTTTTTTTTTTTTTTTTTAAGAATCTTTAGTAGGACAGTTCGGTTCGGCCAGTTTGATGGTTTGGAATTTGAAAAGACAAGATGGTCAAATGTTATCAAGAGGTCACCCTTATCAGAAGCTCCTTATCAGCCCTCTCATTTCTAGTCTACATGGCACTTTCTTTCGCCCGCATAAGTAGAGATATACGTAATGCCATAAAGTCGAGTAGCCATTGACCATTTAGAGGCTGCCAGATTTATGAATCGTGCAATAGTATCAATTATTTCGTGACCAGCGTGAAAAGCAGTCAAACTATTAGAACGAATTGAGTGAGGAAAATGAACGCGAGGAGAGAAGCTATTCTAAATAAGAAAAAGCCAGCCGATCGTTTTAAATGTTGCGCGACTATGAAATCGGTCATTTAATTTATTATTTCCTGCTTGATTAAGAGAACTCGGTTCTGTGATATGCTACCAAGAAACACAAAACGATCAACAACGTCGAAGATAAAATAGTCGAAACAAGTTCTTCATTGATTGCGGACCAACATATATGTTTTAATGAATTTTTAACAACATTTGAAGCTTAGTGAACAAGTAGCGAATTCGATAAAACATCAGCTCAGGATTATTCTGCACGATCTGCAAAAAAATTCTTTAGCCTGATATATCTATTATCAAATTGTCTTCTCATGATAATGTTCAGGGGTAATTCTCGATGAAGAAGATTGCGATTATCCACTCAGATTACAATTAGAATTACCAGCTAGCGTTACATCGACTCCAAGAAACTTCACTTTATCGTCACAGGGGATTGAATGCAGACAAAATAAAATTTATTTTCAATTCAATCAGTTGCAAGCGATTTTTATCGAAGTTGTTGATGACATTTTGTAGAATCTACTGATAATGATCGTTAGACATTTATGAACTTTTATATATTAAGAAAGTAATCTATTAGATTTATTAAAATAATTAGCAATATCAAATATTTTAAGTGATGATAAAGAAAACATAGGTAAACTATACATACATAATACGTTGTTTGTATGAATTACTGTTAGTATTAACAAGCCGATTAATGAAAGGCGTTCCTTCACGTATGATTTCATTCACACTTCTATAAGCGATTGGTATGATCTTTCCTTATCGTAACAACGATAAGTTAACACGTGTGTGTTAAACCTATATTTAAGCAACATATGAAAACGATAGAACTTGATTGAACACGTTGAAAACTATACGTTGTAATATTAAAAATTGCAATATACAAAGATGGACTACAATTTCTTTTTTTATTCAAAATTTATAAAACCACTAGACTGTAGATAGAAGAAAAAGTAGTTGAGTAAGCAGATGGTTGTCTAAAGATTGATAAACTCTTGGACTCAAAGGACCAAATGTAGATAAAAATTAGTTCGAGACCG